TTTTCCGGCTTTTCACAACGAGATCTGTTACTTTGAGAACATCAAAGAATTCCTCTACTTTTCYGCCTAGATCAACTACAGTGTTTTTGAATTGAATTACTATCCTCAAACATAAAGAAAAACGTTTTGTTTTTGAAGTTAGGGTAGAGTTGATTAGAAATGTTACCTTCAAAGTTGCCGCTTCGCGCCTTGCTACTGCTGAAGCTTTCATTTTCAGAAAGGACCACTTTGTTATCGTCCTCACAACCTGCAGTGCTAGAAGTTTCTACTTCTTGCTCTTTGGAAGCTCTGTGCTCAGGCAAGAGAAGTGTTTCAGCTCTTGAAGAGTCTGACGATTCGTCAGACTCTTCAACACTCAAAATATTTCAAACTCTTAAGTATTTCAAACTCTCTTGATAAGAGAGGTTAAAATACTTCCACGGCTGACTTGTCTATTCTCATAGCTCCCCTCTCAAAGCTTCCTTCAGTTACTGATGTTTCTACCAAAGGCTCTTTGGCGAAACTTGAGAGAATCGAGAGTGACAGAGGCTCTTCTGCAACCGAACTAGAGTAATCCATATCCATAGCCGTTCATGTATTACTATTTCAGTTTGAAAAAACTAACGATTTCTTCGACAGCGTGGTGCGGCTGTCGGAAATTTCAAAACTCCTATGTCATCGGGCATACAAAAGCATTTCGTATAAGGTGTGCATATTAACCAATAAACACGAGACGGATTCAAAATTGTCGTCGCACATTCTTCAGGGTTCATGCCGGTCAGCTATTTGACAAGCCATGCTCAACAAATTCAGTTAGTGAAAAGATATGGTAACAACACGCAGTAGAGGGTCCTCACTACCTTACTCGAAAGATGGAAAAAGGGAAAAGCGGCACTATTCCGGCAGAGAGTGGTGTTTCACGAAAGCAGAAAAGGGAGAGGTACGCATGCTGCATCATCACAATAAATCACCCATTCTAGCGCAGGATGGCACTGATCCTGGGTCTGTTGTTCACATGAAGCCCACGAGTGAAGATCTAAGGAAACTCAAGATACGTTTCGTTTTGAGAATTTTAAAAATTTTAATCTTTAGTGAGAAGAAAAGAGAATTGCTCTGAGAAAGATCATGTTGAGTTTGTACGAGATGAAGATCCTTTTTCATCATGCAATAGAAAATTAAGATCGAGGAGAATAAATGTTCTCGAGTCTGAGATTAGCTGCATTTGATTTGGCTTCCAAAAGGTTTGCACTAAGTAAACTTGGCCTGTCTATAGCAGTGGATTTCCCTCTTTTGGCATTTAGCTTACTCTGACCATTCACTCTTAATTTTTTACTACCTATCTACGGTAATCAAAGAAAATAATTTTACTTTAGTTGGTAGCTTACATGAAATTTCCCACAAAAATTTAAAGCGTTTTGGAATGCGAGCACAATAGCAATCAATGTGCAACACTTTTCAAAAATGGCGCAAGAAAGTTCCGTTTCTGGTCTTCGTTTCCGCCAAACGTGTTTGGATAAGCCGCCGATGCCGCATTTTCAATCTAATTTACTTTTCACACCAACGTATTTCCTGAAAGATAAGGTAAAATGGTTTTATGATATTTCACAAGTCATTCATTGTTTCTTAGGTAAAATACAACTCGGAAAAAAGTCTTCTTCTGGACGTTACGTTCTTAAATCCCACCGACGACCTCAATAAACAGTTGTACTGAGAAATTTCTCACATTTCAAGATTTGGAGAACAAGTCAGAAAATTACTTGATGTAGAATTCTTCCCCGTGTCAAGTTCTGGCAAACGACCTGCAAGTAGTTTCTCTACCAGTGGCTGCAAGGAAAATCAAGCCAAAAACCGGCGAGATGAGAATGAGTCAAACACTATTTTGGTACAACCAAGTGAACAATTTTCCCTTGGTGTTGAGACCTTGTCGATTACCGTGTCTACGTCGACAAATGTAAATGTGAGCGCCAATGTCTCATCTGTATCCGGTGCATCTACATCTTCAAGCGAAAGTGGAGATGAGCCAGTAGTGGATTCGTCACAGCAATGCTACGCCATATCTTTGCGCGAGTGATTATTGTAAAGCTTTCGTGTGGTGGGAATTCGAAATTGTTCATTACTGAATTTTTGCGTATATTGGTTCCTAAAGTAGCCCATTTTTGTGCAGGGTCTCGAAAAGTTTTCGTGTTGAGCTTAAAAGCCCCAAGGAAAGATTACACACTTCCGGATCTCGATGAAGTGTTTGTGAAATCCCTCGTGACCGAATTTAAGGATAATGAGGTCCCTTTTGGTCAAAAGCCATTGTTGGCGATAATCAAAGGCGTTTCAATGCCAAACGAATTCAAACAGGACAAGCTTGATTCAAAAGAGTTAGAGGTGATCGGTGGCAACCACTGAAGAGCGGCCATGCAGGCTATGCTAACGGAAGATGCGGAGAATATCAAGTATAAATACACGGAGATCATTTTGTTTAAAGGTTAGTAAGGCAGAGCTTTATCTCCGCACAGGAGATTTTGCTATGAAATACGAAGCAACACAATATCAACATTTTTCCGCCACGCTCTTGTAACACTTCTACTTCCTGATCACGAAATTATAGATTATCTTATAGAAATGCCAAAAAAGACATGCTGAAACTTGCGTTCAAGCACAACCCGATGGACCGCTTCCATCATGAAATGACTTCTCAAGATAAGGTATTAAGTTCTGCTCTTTCTTAGCCTGCAAAGCAAGCCCCGGGGGAGAGGAGCGGGTATTGGGGCGAGTGAAATGTGCTGTGGGGAGAGGGAGGGCTTGCCACAGACCCCCACTAACTAACGAAATTTCCGATCTTGTATGGACGAAAAATTCCCAGTGGCTGAGAGCAACACGTCAATCAACCCTTGAACTAAACAGTCTTCGTGGCGACTACCCTTTACAAAATTGGGGACGATGGTGATTTCAAGAAGTTCTGCCGTCAAGAATCAATGTCGAAGTAGAATATTTGTGGCAGCCATCCACTTGTTCAAGCTGAAGGCCTTGATAAGAATGGCGTCTTCATTCTCAAACGTGCCCTTAACCACAACATTGCAAAGCCGATGGATGTTGGATCCAAATCATCAATGTTTATATTTGTATCCATCGCTGAAGTTGAGGGTTGTCCTTTCGTCGGCGAGTCAAACAACGCTTCCCTGCTAGATGTAGGTTTTGCATGTGCCGGGGAGCAGACATGCAAGCTCTTTCTACCTGGACTTTTTCCTGTCGGTGTTGAGAACTTTCATTTCGATGAAACATTGCGGGAATCTGGACATTGAGAAGCAGCCTTATTCAACAGTTCATAAAACTGGCAAAAACTGTTAGCTTTTCTTGCACAAGGAAGGCATATAATTTGAGATACGTGCGACTTATTTTCGAAGTGAAAACCGACCGTTTGAAGGCGATCGGTGAAGATACACATCCCTTTGACTCTGATTAAAAATACGTATGATGCACGATCCTCGTAGTAGGGGGCGCTATTTATGCAATAGGGAAAATCAGACCTGAAAAAAATCAGGCCTGTACGGGATTCGAACCACTGACCTCTGTGATACTAGTGCAGCGCTCTACCAATTGAGCTAACAAGCCAACTGGGAGCAGGCCGTTAAGTTGATTCACAATAAACCCGTGATGATCAATCAGATATGATGAATATATGAAGTTCATATATTTTGAACTGCGGTTATAGATACGTTTGATGCACGATCCTCGCAGTTGGCTTGTTAGCTCAATTGGTAGAGCGCTGCCCTAGTATCGCAGAGATCAGTGGTTCGAATCCCGTACAGGCCTGAGTTTTTTCAGGTCTGATTTTCGCTATTGCATAATTAGCGCTCTCTACTGCGAGGATTGTGCATCATACGTATCTATAACCGTAGTTCAAAATATATGAACTTCATATATTCATCGAATCTGATTAAAAATGTTTACAAAACTCTTGAAGCCACTTCCAAATTTATTTTTTAAATCTACCCCGCGAAACCGGCAAACTACGCCATCTGGATTAACTTTTGGCATTATTCCTCTCTTAGATTTTGATACCAGATTCTCCTTGTCGTCTGACATTTCTCGCTCACATGGAGCAAGTTTTAGTTGTTGTTTTGACAGTTTGCATGGTTCACTGAGCTCTAGCTAATGGCTCTTTCTGATTGATTAATTTTAAGAGGGGCTGATTGACACATGCAAGACGATATGAATATGAAAATAGGGGGCGTTTCGTTAGTTAGTGGGGGTCTGTGGCAAGCCCTCCCTTTCCCCTCTGCACATTCTGCTCCCCCCAATCCCCCACCTTTCCCCAGGTCTTGCTTCGCAGGCTACTCTTTCTAGAAATTTGTCTCATTTCATGTATGTTCTAGTCCTCTTGTGCGGTCTAGATACACAAGCAGAGAGAAAGTTATTTTTTGTCTTCGTATTATTTCTTAGGTACAATTTTTTAATGTTTTTCTCCCATTTTATTGAAATTGTTTTCTTGGGCTGTCTGGCTAAATACAAATTTAGTCCCTCAATTTGTAATAAAACCAGTATTAGTGATATGGCTAAAGTGTAATGAATAATTTATGTCATATTCTTTAAGGTTAAGCTGTGCCATACAATTTTAAGAGATGAGTTCAAGGGACAGAAGACAGCTGAATGGAGAAACTACTGCAGTTCAGTTATTAATTCAAAGGTAAACTAATTAACTCATAATGATAAGGAATAAATGAAAAAAAGCATCCAACACTGCACTCTTTTGTAGGAGTCTCTTGAATTCATATATCTGCTTAGTGGATTCGAGGAGCCAGCCTTCTCGGCCTTAGAACAAGTATTTCTGGTATATGAGAAATTTGAAATAAAGGACCAGACAAGCAGCGTCTCTCAGGCCAAAAAGTTGCTTTGCGGAGCGGTGCAACAGCCCAACATCGTTGCCTCAATGTTCAAGTGCCTGAGGTGACTAGATACTGAATAGCTAGTGGAGCTGTTGGGGAATTTGGCGGATGAGAAACTGTCTTTTGCAGAATTAAAGGAAGGGCAATAGAGGTAAAAAACACAGCAGCTCTGAAGGCGGAATTCGTAAAGAAAGCTGGCTGTCGATCATGGAAGGAGGCGGAAGAGAGGTATTCATTCAATATAACAGTTTAACAACTTCGAAACTCAATTATTACCACTTTTGATTACACTTCTACTTAAACATAAAGTTTTGTTCATGTGTCCATGTCCGTTGTGATAAAAAAATTCTTCTTTGAAATGCATCTATCAATTTATGATCCATTTTCTGTACAATGGCCTTGTTTTAGAATAGTGAAATAGTTGAAAAACACTAAGCTCAAATCCACAAGATAAATTGCCAAGTACAGTATTTTTATCATAATTTTTTTTAATGGAGGGGAGTAATTGTGCTCTTACAGCTTTTTTCTTTGCTTGGCATTAAAGGTTTCCCCATTTCACTGGACGCGAAGTCCTTCAGCCGTTTATCAGCACTGTCAAAAAGGGGAAGGCAATTGCTGAATTCATGGCACTCGTCGAAAGAGCCCTTCAAGCTGAAGTGGCAGAAGAAGACAACGGTATAGTTAGTTCCTACAACTAATAGAAGGGGATAATAGGTGCAAGTTATTTAGGAAATTCTTTCACTTTTGGTTAATTACCGTACCAACAGCTTAGAAATGATACAGAAGAATGTTTCTGTGCCGAAAGCAATCGATGCTATCACTTTAAACTGTACTTATATGGCTTTTTTTCCTCTTTTTTTCAGATCGCTCTATACTTTCGCGCATCAATGGGCAATTTTATTGCGCAATTTCTTCTGAGGATCATAATGTCTCTGCCGTATCACTTGAAGGAATCCCCTTTGGTGGTGCTGATCTAATCATTATACAGAAACAGAAAGTAAGCTCATCGCTTGATTTTTTTGTTTGTTTTGTTTTTCCTTTTTCTTAAATTCTCTCAACAAGATTCTTATATGCAAATGAGGCTATTGTTGACATGCTTTTAATTTTTCAAATTTGACAACTTTCCAGAACTGGAGTGAGGAAAAATTAAAGTCTACTTTAAGGCAGATATGTGGCCTGAACACAAGGCTAAAGATGACTCACTACATCATTGTTGTAAGAGAAAGAGATGAATCCCTTACACAAACCCCGGAGGAATGTACCCTGCGAGGGATGGCTTACACATTGTATGTTGCCTGGAGTAGGATGTCCGCTAAAGGTAACATTTTGTTTGTTTTTGTCATTAGGTTTAGAAAGTTTCCAATTTCCATTTAGGGTTAAGTCTTGATTTAGTGATAAATTAAACGACTCAGTGTGGCATGATAGTCTCTGAATGCTTAAATCTCTTGCAAACAGCTGGCCCTGGACTGACAGATGTCGTCAAAAAAAATTGTGTCATTATTGTTGGCACACCATCGAAAAGTGCCACAAATTGGTTTGTGGCTGAGAATGAGTTGGACCTCATGCAGCACATCAGAAAGCTTTTCATGCCTCCAAGAGGGATTGTATTAGAATTTGGACACTCATATACTCTAGGTAAGACACAATTATACAAACAAAATGTACTAAATCTGCACATTTTACAGACATTGAGTCCTTTATTTTCTGTGCCATAATACAGTTACGAAAATGGTTAATGGAAGTGAGACAAAATCGCTGACTTGCAGTAGCCTGCTGTCAAAACTTCTTTAAACAATGCCAATAGCTGCAAAAGGTAATAACTTGTTTATCCCTTATTTTTATGTTTCAGTGAGTTCCTGCCTGAAACCGTCGGTTGGAAGGAACATGAACTTATTATCCGTATATAATGACGAGAAGCCTGTTTCTGGTTTTAGGAAAGAAGCTGTCACACTGAGCTGTTCAGCATGCGAGGGATCAGGGTCTAAAGATAACGACAAGTAGAGAAATTGCTTTGCAAGACAATCGTACTGAATGTAGATTTATGATCCCTTCGCCGGAAAAATTGTTTGAGTGAAAGTTTCGAACAGATCAGTCAAGAGTCATTTCAATGAGGTTAACCGTTAGCCGTTAAAAAGCAAACAAATTTCGCCACAAGGCAAAAAGTTTGAAAATTTTTGACCGTCTGTCTTAAAAAAAGTCTAGCGCAAGATTTTTTTTCATTTGAATGCAACGGAAAGAAATTTGCCGTTAGCTGTAACAACCTTTACCCTATTGAAACACTTTTATCTCAAAGAACACACGTGAATAACAATTAAGTAAAATTTTAGTAATTACTTTGTATACGCGTGATTGGGTATGACATGGAAATTTCCATGGACCTGCTTTTGACACAAATCAGATACTATTTTGAATATTTGAATGAGTATTACATGGAAATTTCCATAAACCTGTTTTGAAAAGGTATTTCGGACACTAAATTTTTAGCAAATGAGTCCGTAATACCTATAAAATTCCATGCACCCATTTTGGGCAAAGAAAGTTTGAAATTATTATACTTTTTTGCGCGTGAAAGAGTATTACATGGATATTTCCATGTACCCGCTTTGGTCAGGACTGCTTGATACTGTTTGTATACGTGGATAATAAGTATTACATGGAAATTTCCATGGATCATTTTGGTGAGGCACTATCCGGCACAATGAAATCGTAAAAGTATTTCATGGAAATTTCCTTGTACCTGTTTAAATTGGCTTAGAATGATTGATATACATTAATAAGTATTACATGGAAAGTTCTATGTACGCTTTTTGGCCAAGAACGTTTGAAATTGTTTTTTAGTTTTTTTTTTAACGTTAAATGAGTATTACATGGATATTTCTATGTACCTGTTTTGATTAAGAATGTTTGTTACTGTTTTGTATACGCGAGTACGTATTACCTGTACATGGAAAATTCCATGGACCCGTTTTGGCCAAAAGTGTTTGAAATTATTTTTTTTACGCGTAAATGGGTATTGCATGGAAATTTCCATGTACCCGTTCAATTTTTTTCTTTTCTTTACGTTTAAATGAGTATTACATGAATATTTTTATGTACCTGTTATGATTAAGAATGTACGATACTGTTTTGTGTGCACGAGTATTACATGTACATGGAAAATTCCATAGACCTGTTTTGGCCAGAAGTGTTTGAAAAAATTTTTTTATGCGTAAATGGGTATTACATGGAAATTTGCTTGTACCCCTTTCGATTTTGTTTAACAATGATTGATACTGTTAAGTATACGTGAATGAGTATTACAGGGAAATTTTCATGGCAATTTTGTGTGGCACTATTTTAACAGAAAGTCATTCCATTCGGTCATTGTATATTGACAGTGAATGTTGTATAATTGATATTTTTGCTGGTTGGCCAGGCAGGGCTCATGATGTACGTGTATTCAGTCGCTCAAAGATTTGGACAAAAAGTTATCAGTGGGACTGTGGTAGCAGGCCACAACACGTTAGCGAGAGACTTAAATGGGACAGCTATTGAACCATTTCTTGTTGGGGATCCTGCATACCCTTTCTGTAAACATCTAATGAAAGATTATACTGGATCCAATCTTTCACCTGAAAAGGAATATTTTAATTACAGATTAAATCGTGCTCGTATTCAGATTGAGAGAACATTTGGTCTGTTAAAGGGGAGGTGGCATTGTCTTCTACATCCTTTGGAATGTGATCTGGCCAATGTAGTTCAACATATAATTGCTTCATGTATAATGCACAACATATACCAAGAGGGAGATGTTGAATACCTTGAAGAATGGGATAGCGGGGATGCTGAGGAAATGAATAAGCCACCCACACTTGGTCCTCTTTCTGATGATGTGGGTGTTGGAAATGCTCAGCTAATAAAAAGTGTTTTATGTCAATATATAGCAGAGAATTAAGGATGATGCCAGAAGTAGTCAACTAATAAACTGTTAGAAAAATTACTTCATCTCTGTTGCTATAAGATGTGCAAGGTTGCAAACATTGGTCAATGGATGCAAGAATAGTCATTTACAGTGTTGTTGATATTTGTTATAGCCCAAAGGCTTATGTTCCTTTTCTAGTTTTGACAACAGTTAAAATAAAGTTTACAAGTTTTTTTCAGTTATTTTGTTTGTTAGCTATCAAGCACTATAACAGAACTGTTATATATTACTATCAAGCACCATAACAGAACTGTTTTTGTGGTCAAAGTAAGCCCATGTGAGATAACTCTTATGAGACAGATGAGGGTAATTATGACATGTCATTAGAACCTCTGAGGTATCTAACCTTAGTAAAGTTTATTTTAGCCCCATAAAGTAATTTCTGCCACAAGAAAGCAGCTCCCTTGTTATTTTAGATGCATCAGAATTTTGCATGTAAGGGGTAATGCTTTTTGTGTGAGAGAACAATCATTCAATTAAAAAGATACCAAAAGTTTTATTTAAGACATTGTAAAACAAGAATTGAGTCAGTTCCCTGCAGAGAGTGAGAAAGAAGTGACGTGAATGTAATGAACTGTTTTAATCTATGTGGCAAGGTGGACATTACTCTGTTCTCAACGAAATTCTAGTTGTTTTCTGTTATTCATCTCTATCTGAGACAGACACCTTATAGAGAACTCATTATATACATTATTAGTAATCATCTACGGGAGAGAACTAATGACATAAATTTTTCATCCATTATTTATTTTGCATTTCCATAATTTTCAGTATAAAACAACATATCCTAAAAAGGATTAACTATACTGGTTTCCAAAGGAACGTTCCGTCAACAGCATCTAGGTGACTTCCAGGCTATCAGGATAGCCTTTGAAATGGATAACAAGAACTAAAACAACGTTATCGCTATAACACCACTGTTCAATGGTCAACACCTTCACTCTACAAATCAGGCAGTGTTGGTGTCTCCCTGTCAGTGTATCGTAAACAGCATCTTGAACTACTCAGAGGTGGAGTATGCCTGTCGCTGTAATATGGTGAGCAGTGCTGCACTGCATGCTGAGGTATAGGATGCAGTGGATACTGTGTTGCTTGGGGTGGGAATGAATGGAAGAGTGGTAACTTTTGATTACCAGTACCCCCCTGCACCTGTGTTAACATCTGCGTCATTCCCATCATTCCAAACATTTCACGAAAGAATTCTCTGTCCTCTCTTCTCTCAGTGCTTCGCGTCTCTGGAGTGATGACATTTTGAGATATTGTTTCCCTCAATTGTTCCATGTGTTCATTTGATTGTTGAAGTGCATCAGCCAGGCGTGGTTTCTTACGAAGGGGTCTCTTTGAAGCTTTTCTTTGCTTTGTTGTGGTTTGGTTTTCCTCTGATGGGTCAGGCTCTTCACAGCTTACTCCATCTGTGGCTCCATCTGTGGCTACAGTAGATTGGTGCTCCTCCTCAACTTGACTCTCAAACACATGACATTGTGGATAGTCATTCACTGGGCGAGAACCTAAAACCAAGGGGTTTGTAGTACACCTTTGAAATGTGGCAGGACTGTAAGTTTCACAGAGATAGGGATAAGTGGTTGAAAGGTAGGAAATAAGGGGGAATTCAAAATTCTTCAGTGACAATTCCCCACACTGTTTTACCACTGGAAATCAGCATAGTCCATTTTTTTATGGTGTATAAACTTGTAATAAAAAAGGGTAACATTTATCAACTTCCTTGAATTTTTTTAACCATTCACAGGACGAAATGACTAAATTAAGTGTTCTTAAAGGTAACTTAAAGGTTAACATTAGAAGTGTTTAAGACATCTTTAGGTGACATACGAAAGTTCTGAAATGAATCTTTAATGCAACTTTCAGAAGTCAATTAAAGTGTCCTTATGAAGTATTTAGTTAACACTTTAAGATCAAATGAAAGCAAACCTAAATAACCACTTCATGAAGACTTTAAGATCACATGAAAGGAAACCTAAATAGCCATTTAATTGATTTTAAGAATCCTCTTAATTCTCGTAAACTCAACTTTAGTCAACTAAAACTGCTATCGTAAAGGCATCTTAAAGGTTTCTTTAATCTTTTGTTTCTCTGTAAGTACTGCTTAAAGTTGCAGGTTTAGTTGTACTTTCAGATTTTCTTAAACTTCAAGTTTTGTTAACATTGATCATTAAGTGACTTTTAAGTACCTCTAAAGGCTGTAGGTTTCACTTTCAATTGACTTTTGATTTGCTTAATCACACCTACATTTATAACACAATAACATATCAACGTGCAACCTTCAAATTGTTAGGAAAAGAGACATCACACATTCAAGTAATAACAGTGTTTGAAATAATTTCGTTCAAAACTCAATTGTTCCTCTGAGAAAACAGTTTTTTACCAGCTCTCAAATATAGCTAGCATATAAACGTCAGCAATTTATTGTCGTTTACGATTTACTATGACTCAAAATTACTCTTCCAGAACATTTGACATTAAATAAAATAACAGAGAAGGTACCTAGTCATTAGTGTATGAATTACTGCAATTCACATGACTTCAGGGAATACCATTACGATAACAGCTGCAAAATATATTTTCCTCTTAACCTTTACCTCCCATGATCCAATTAGTAATTCTCCCTACTTCCCTTCATACATTTCCTTATGAATTGGACAGGAGAATTTGGTCTTATTCGAAAACAGAACTCTCTGGCTGATAAACTGTTCTCATAACCACAGGACGAAATGACTAAATTAAGTGTGCTTAAAGGTAACTTAAAGGTTAACATTAGAAGTATTTAAGACATCTTTAGGTGACATATGAAAGGATATTCTATTCAAGCCCCATACCCATATAATTAAAAAGAAAGAGATAGCCAAATGTTTGAATTACTAATTGTCATACTTTATTAAAATTGTTTCTCGTTCATTAGTGTATAATATAATCTCAGTCATGTAGGTAATAGAATATTTACCAGTATAAAAGTATGACAAATACTCTATACAACTAGCTGTAATAACACACTACACAAAAAGCTGTTGATTCACAAATTGTAATCTCAAATCCAGCTACTAAGAAATGTGATTTGAAATGATACTTGTCTAACAAAAAAATATAAGTTCAACTTATCGATCTAAAAAATCAGAGAATTTTTCTTAAGCGACTTCAACTTGCAATAACTATCAACTATCTGCTACGTTATTAGATATGTAATACTTAATAAATAAGATCATATACCTTA